CAGGCCAGGACAAGGCCACTGTCGCCTGGTGGAAGAGACAATGTGGGGCACCATCAAGTGTGAGAGCCATGGAGAAGGTGGGGGGTCCAGTCCTAGACTGGAACCTGGTCCTGGCCGGGAGCAGGGAGCTGCAGCTCACTCTCCCTGTGGCGGACACCCTGGTGTGGTCCCCCCTGGACAGGACCCTGAGATGTCTGGTCATCGGTGACCTGTGTCCTGACAGCCCAGAGCCACGTAGCCCCTGAGCCCCCCAGTGCCCGTGCCAGGCACACGAGGGCACCCCTGTTGGAGCTGCTGGCGGTCCCAGGGCAGTGCAGGCCACACTGCCCGCGTCAGACAGCACTCTGTGTGACCTACGGTGGCCTCTGCTATGGTGGGCCGTGGACGCTTGCAGAGACGCAGGCAGGTGCTGGAGGCCGGGGCAGGTGGCGCGGGCGGGGAGCCGGCACAGGGGAGGGAACCGCGGTGAAAGCTGCCCTGGGGGCCTGGCTGGGTCAGGGAGGTGGGGAGGAGGGGCCAGCAGTGGAGGTGGGGTGGGATGACTCCATAGGGTCCTGCAGTGGAGGTGGGAGGGGTCTCCAGGAGGAGGGTCCTGCAGTGGAGGTGGGAGGGGGCTCCAGGAGGAGGGTCCTGCAGTGGAGGTGGGGTGGGGGGGCGCCAGGAGGAAGGGCCTGGAGTGGAGGTGGGAGGGGGCTCCAGGAGGAGGGTCCTGCAGTGGAGGTTGGGCGGGGGGGGCTCCAGGAGGAGGGTCCTGCAGTGGCGGTGGGGGCAGGCATCAGAGTGGGGGAGAGCGCAGCATTCCATGGCCAGGGACCGCTGCCCAGTGCCTGGGTGCTGGCCGAGAGCAGTGGAGATGGGGCAGGGCTGGGGGCAGGCTGGGCAGGGTCAGGCCCCTCAGGCTGCTGTGGGGGCGGCACTGCCCTGCCTGTTCCAGCCCAAGCTCCACAGTGGCCTCAGCTCACGCTGCGTGGGCAGGAGGGCAGAGAAGGCTGGAGCGTGGAGGGCTAGCCCTCGGGGGAGGGGACACTCTAGGGGCCCTCTAGGCTGTTCTCAGCAGGAGAGCAGATGGGACCAGTGACCGCAGCCAGAGCACCTGCCTCTGGCTCTCAGAGTGAGCTGGTGACAGCTCCAGCTGGCCTGAGGACAGGGGCCTGGGGAAGCCACGGCCACGAGGAAGCCCCCCGCCTGGCCAGGCGACTGGAGTTTCTGAGCTGGCTCGGACCTTGTGGTTGCTGCGGGTGGCCCATCTGTGACTCAGGGCACTGGGGCACAGGCAGCAAGTCCTCATCACTGGGGTGTGGACAGCTGGTGGCTGGCAGTCAAGGGCAATGCCCAGAGACAGCCTGAGTGTCCCAGGTCACTGAAGAAACGAGTGGCAGAATGGGTTTGGGTTTGGGGCCAGAGGCGGGAGGCTTCCGGTGGGCAGCTTCTGGGTGGCACCAGCAGTGCCCCAGCCCAGGTGCTGGCAGTTAGGGCCTCGGGGTGGCGGCAGGGGCAGTGTGGGTGTGGCCCTGCTGAGAAGCCCTTGAGAGGAAGTCAGCCGTGTTGTGGCCTCTTCCCTGGATGCCCCCATTTCCCGAGCGTCTCCACCACCTCCGTGCCCACCGCCACCTTGCAGAGCCCGGAGCAGCCTCACCTTAAAGAAGACGTAATCGTCCTGCACGGTCAGCGAGCTGTGGTCGATGGGGCCTGTGAACGGGGCTGTTAGTGTCTTATCAGAGCAATTGTGGATCTGGCAGGTGACGTAGCGAAAACCTGCAGGAGATAAGAGCCAGCCCAGGGCCGTGAAGTGTCCAGTATTCAGACTGCGACGACCGAGCATTGGCCCGATGACCCTGCCCTGCTGTGGCCGTTCTGTGTGTGGGTTTGGATTTTAAAGGACCTGCCCTGTGGTCACACCTGGGGCCCGCCCAGCCGCCCTGGCCAGGAGGGCTGAGAGGAGACTATTAGGTCCTCAGCACTGGGACCAGCCGTTGCCCATGGGTAGGGACAACCAGGGTAGCAACAGGCCCTCACAGCCCCTGACCTTCAGGGCCCCCACCCTCCCAAAGGCCCTGACACCTAAGCGGGGCGGGAGTGTGTGGCACTGAGTGTGCTTATCCCCGACTCAAAGCAAAAGCTCCCCGCCTTCCTCGGGTGTTTACGTTGGGCACGTTGAGTGCTGGCCCGGCCGGGCGGCTGCGTCTGTAGGTGTGGGAGCTCTGCAGGTTCACAGCCTCGGGAGCCTGCAGCCTTAGGGACGCTCTTCCCAGCTGGTGGCCCAGGAGCGGGACTTGGCTGACACACCAACTTGCAGCCCAGGGAGGGACACGGAGGCCACAGCACCTTGGGCTCACCTCCTGCCTACGGCCCCGGTGTCAGGGTGGCATGAACAGTTATCAGGGCTGGCTCTGGGCCAGGAAGACCCACACCCTACGTCCACTACCACCAAGAGAGGGAGGGCTGGGCCTCCATGCACAGCTGAGACGGTGACACAGAGCAGGCACAAGGGCGCCTCTGACCCCAACCAACCACCAAGCATGCTGTAGGGTGGCCATGTCCTGTCAGCCTCAGGGCCAGCTCAGATTGTAGGGCTGCTGGCCTGCAGGGACTCGGTGCGGAGTGAGAGCCAGACTCAGGGGCAGTCCCAGGTCACCCACACTGTGCTCACTCACCCACCCCCTCGCCCCCATTGGCTCTTCCTGTCCCCAGCAGGCCTCGCTGTCCTGGGCCTGGTGTCTTCTGAGCTAGGCCCCCGTGAGGGTGCTGCTGGGTTGGAGGGAATGCCCTGCTGTGCCCACTGCCCTGTGCTGTGCCCGCTGCCCTGTGCTGTGCTGCCTGCCCAGTGAAGTCCCTGCACAGGGAGCGAGGCGCCTGTGGGCCTCTGGCCTTGCAAGTAGAGATGACCGCCCCCTGAGAGAGCAGCCTGGCACGAGGTCACCACGGTTGTGACATGGGCACTGGGCTCCTTCTGTCCGTGACAGGGAAGAAGCCTGGCCAGCCAGGAAGGGGATTTGCAGAGCTTGTGCAGATCCTCCCAGGGTGGCCCTGGCTCCTGCGCAGGGCATTAGCACTCAGCAGTCTCCTGGGACACGGGGGAGTCCACAGCCCCAGCTGGAGCTCGAGGCAGGGCCCTGGGTGCTGTGAGGCACAGAGGAGTGGTGGCAGGGGTGGGGGCTCTGGGGACGGTGGGGAGGCGGCAGGGCCGTGAGCGTGCAGAGTGGCCCTCTGGTGGGCCAGGCTGGCGGGAGGGTGGGGCGAGATCGGGAGGGGGCACTCCAGGTCCAGCGAGCCTGGCTCTGAAGGGCTGCCCGGCGGGCGGGGTGTTTGCCAGGTGGGTCTTGGGGAGCGTGGGGCCAGGCGACCCTGGGGGCTCTTCAAGTGCAGCTGGCTGCTGTGGCCCCTCTCTGCCAGGACGGCTGGCCCCTCTAGGACGTGGGCCTCTTTCTCCCTGGTGGGCAGCTGGGTGTCACAAGGACAACCTGCCCTGCTGTGAGTGGTGTCCTTGTGCCACCTGCACGGGGCCAGGGTGTTTGGGGCTTGGTGAAGACCCCAGAGGATGAGAGAGGGTGGCGGGAGTGGGGGAGGATTCTCCATGACCTTGTCTGGCAAACTTGGTTATCAAGAGGGGACCCACAATGACTGCGGCCCACCTCCCGGCCCCGTGGTGGGCCCCACAGAGAGCTGAGGACGGGGAGGCACCTGCCCTGGGTCTCACTGGGACTCCACCTGCGGGGCCCAGTCCCCACAGGGACCGCTGCCCTGCTGCCCACCAGCCCTGCCCTGGTTAACACGGCCTGGCCAGTCTGCACAGGGACAGGCCCAGCGGCAGAAGGGAGAGCCAGGCGTGAGCAGGCAGGCGTGGCCAGCAAGCACCTAGCACAGGCCCGTCCTCATGCCCTGACCTCCCCCTCCCCCGCCCAGCACGCCCCTGCTGCCCGCCATGCGGGTCCTGCTGCTGCTAAGGTAGTCCTGTTGGCGCCATCACGCACCAGGCAGGGGCCTGTCCTGTTCATATCTGCATTTGGTGGACAGAGGTACAATCTATGGTCCTCTCATCTCTGTTGTTCCAGAACATTCCATGGTGCTCAAACACCCTGGGCTCTAGGACCCTCTGTGGTTCCCTTCTCAGTGCTCCTCCTGGAGGGATACAGAGCAGCCTGCGAGGCCCTGGCTCCCTGGAGGAGGCCAGTGGGCTGGGCAGCCCGGCCCCTGTCTCGGCTGGGGCTGGGGGAGCCCGCACACCTCAGGCTCGGCACACTCTGGCAGGACAGTGTGAGCAGAAGCGTAGATGCTCAGGGGCCAGAACAAATCACCCTCTTAATAGATTTTTCCGCTGGAGCGGAGCTCCTTGGCTTCAGTGGATCCCCAGCGGGGAAACAAGCACATTTAAAATCATGCCTCTTCATAACACGGCGCGGTCGGCCTGCAGGGCCACCGCTGAGGCTGAGCAGGGGCAGGGCTGGGCGGGGTGGGGGCAGGTCACCGAGACCCCTGCAACCACGCCCCTCCTCCTTACCTCCACTGAGGTCCTGGGCTTCCATGTGGACCAGGTTGGGGTCGGTGTCCACCCCAGACACAGCCCTGGAAAAGAACAGGTGGAGATGGCATCAGGGTGGCCAGCATCAGATCCCCACACCCCACTGCCTCTTGGCCCTCCTGGGTCTGAGGTCTCTGCCTCTGTGCCTCCCCAAGGGCCTCCTGCTCCTGCGGCAGACGAGACCTGGCCTCTGCCTGTGGGAGCCTGGTGTGCGGTGTTCTGTCCCCCTCCCATTCACAGGACGGTTTACGAAGCTCACCCTCCTTCACGGGGGCCTTGCTGGCCACCTCAGGAGGCAGCAGCTGGGGCTGCCACGCTCGCTTCACAAGTAGGGCAGCGCAGAAGAGCGGGTGGCCTTCCCGAGGCCACACAGCCACCACAGGCCACCACAGGCCACCTGGGCTTCAGCCAGGACCCAACCTGAGCCGCTGCCTGACCCTTTGCCCTGACCCTTTGCCTCGACTCTGGGTCACTGCCCCGCACAGCTCTGCTCTGTCACCCCGAGCCCTACCCCAGTGCTGCCCCAGGGACTGCCCCAATTCTCATGTGGGGCACAGGCTCGGGAGGGCAGCCTGCCTGTGTCACTGCCCTGGACTGTTAGCTCCAGGCTGCCCCCTGCACCTGGGCGGACTGCGTGGCCAGGCACATATCATGAGGAAGCCTACTGAGGCAGGGAAGTTCTGTCACTTGTCTCAGGCAACGAGGCCCTGACCCTTCAGACTCTGCCTCTGCATGGAGTGTGACAGCGTGACACAGGGCTGGTGGCTCCTGGGCCTGCTTGCGCTGCTCCAGGGCTGGCTCCAGGAGCCCGTGGGCCTGCTGAGCCAGCCCACCCAGGCCCTGGGGTTGGAGACCAGTGACATAGCAGTGTGGGGTTCCTGCCAGTGTCCTCCCTAAGCCCATGTCCACCCTCCCAGGTATGTTCCCATGAATGAGAGGGAGACAGAGGAGAGAGGAGAGTGCGCTTCCCCGGGGCAGGGCCAGGCCATCACCTGTCCTGACAGCACGCTTGGGGCAGAGCCTCAGGTGCAGGCCCTCCTGGGTGCTCTAGTTACCTTACCTCACTCAGGGCAGAGCAGCCCTGGGCACTTGGTCTCACCCATTTCACAGATGAGAATTCCAAGGCTCAGGCAGGTGGAAACACGAACCCAAGTCAAGCAGCTCATCAGGAAGATCTATAGCCCAGGACCCGCCACCCAGACCACCTCCCCCACCGCACATGGAGATAGGACGGTGCGGCCACAGAGGACAGGAGGGCCCGCACCTGCCCTTTCCCCAGGCCCTGCCCCGAGCTCTCACAGGCTGCCCTCCCAGGGCACTCTCCTCTGGCCGCTCCCATAGTCACACTGGCCCTGAGACTGCTGGCCATGGGCAGCGCTTTTCCCCTCGGTTCTCAGCTCCAGGTAGAGCAGGGAAGGCAGGTGCCCAGGGCCAGCACAGCCGAACCCTCTGTGAGGAGCATCCCCTCTCCGCTCACTCCATCGACATCTGCTGGCTGCCCCTGGACCACTGTTTAGTGGTCACGTGCCCCCGGCCACTCCCGGTCAACCTATTGTGTGTACTTAATCAGAACCTGCAGAGCACTCTCTATGTTGGGGTTCAGGATTCAGAGGTGAATCAGTCACAGCCTCTGCTCTCCAGGAAAGCAAGGCTAGTAGGGTGGCCACATTTAACAAAACCATCGGCCCATCTGTCTATCTTCCACCCATCCATCCCTCCACCTACCCATCCATCCACCCATCCACTCATCCACCCATCCACTCATCCACCCATCCACTCATCCATCCACCCACCCATCCACTCATCTTTCCATCCATCCACTCATCCATCCACTCATCCGTCCACCCACTCATCCATCCATCCATTCACACATCCATCCACTCATCTATCCACTCATCCATTCATCCACCCATCCATTCACTAGTCTATCCATCCATCCATCGACCCACCCATTCACCCATTCATCTATTCACCCATTCATCCATTCACCCACCCATCCACCCACCCATCCACCCATCCACTCATCCATCCACTCGTCTATCCATCCATCCACCCACCCATTCACCCATCCATCCTCCCATCCATTTATCCATCCACCCACCCATCATACTCATCCACCCATCCATCCATCCATTCATCCATCCATCCAGTTACCCACCCACCCATTCCATGCATGTGTCCATCCATTTACTGAGCACCTACTATGTGCTGGTTCTGTGTCAGATCTTAAAATATAAAGACCTACTTGGCGTCTCCCTGTCCTCAACAGTCACAGTCTGGAAAAATGTCTGAACATTTTTCCCAGGCTCAAAGTCTTTGGGACAGAGGTTGTCGAAACACCATGTCTGCTGGTCACGGAGGTGGGGCTGGTGGTGGTGTGGCTCAGGAAGCAGTCTGTCACTGAGCAGTGGCACCCGCCACACAGGCAGAGATGGGGAGCTCTCCCCTATTTTGTGGTATGAGAGCAAATCTTCATCCAGGAGAGGGTGGAGCTGGCTCTTGGGGCTGCAGTCTATTTGGCACAGCACCTAACGGGTGTCTAAGTGCCTTCCTTGGCGAGAAGGAGTGGGAGGAGGAGCCGTCCCCCGAACACCTACACACTCAGCCCCGAACCACGCGCTTCACAGTCATGACCGTCTGGTCCTCACAGACAGAGCAGGGGTGTCGCCTCTGCTTCATGGATAAGCAGCCGAGGTGGGGGGGCTTGGGGCGCTAGTCACTCAAGGTGCCATCCTGGGCTCAGACGGCCGGGCTCCCTCTTGGGCCCGGTCCCGCCCCTGTGAGGGAGCCCGAGCACACAGCCACATCAGCTGTGGCCTCGGCTCCACAGTCCTGAGCTGCCGGGCTCCCGGCTCTCGTGGGAATCCAGGGGGCCTGCTGGCCACCCGGGGCCCTGTAGGAGGCCAAAGAAGGGGGAGCAGAGGCGCGTCCCAGGTGGCACCTCGCTGGTCTCCAGGGAGCCAGGACAGGGTCGGAATCTATGCTGCCCCCAGTGCCCGCCCAGCAGGGGGAGCGTGAGTGGGAAGGAAGGGAGCTGAGCCAAGGTCCCGCGTTTCCCACACTGAGCTCCTCGGTGGCGGCTGTGTGCACACTCCCGCGCACGGGAGGGGTCTGCTGGCTTCAGCCTCCGCCTCCCAAGACCCCCAGGAAACTGGAGCCTGAGCCGCGGTCCTGCTTGCCCTGGATGTCCAGCCAGCCCCCCTGCACAAACCCCTTCCCACCCGCCACACCTGCTCTCAAGGACACGTGCCCAAGAGAAACTGAGGTCACTTCCTGGCCGTCGCTCCCTTCCCTGCAGCACTCCCACAGCCCCCGAGACAGACTTGTGCCCACAGGGTGCCGTCCCTGGCAGCCCCTTCCCGTCACTGATAGCCCATGTGGCTGGTCCCTTCAGGCCTCAGCTGCTCCCAGCCTGCGTGGCACCACCGACCCCATGGCTCCACCTCTCCAGGGAGCAGGGGCAACCAGGTGGCCCTGAGTGGAGCCAGGTGCACAGGGAGGGCCCCACGTGGGTCTGACGGGCAGGATGTGGTGGTGCGATGGCAGCTGGTGGGACACCCTGGAGTCCTCGGGATTCCAAGCCCAGGAGAGCCAGCACCCGTCCCCTGGCCCCGGGGGACGCTGCATGTCCAGGCGGGGTGCACGGGGCTGCCGTGAGCAGGCAGTCCTGGGCCCAGAAGGGAGGCTCCTCCCACATCTCTTCTGAGTCAAGGAGACAGGGTTCCCCTAGCAGAGTCCTCGGCCAGCAGATGGGAGCTTCGCCTCAGTCTGGCCACCACCTGTCGAGGGGGCGAGGACACGCCTGCTCTCTGGTGTCTCCTGTGCTGACTCAGGCGCTTCCTCTTTCCCTCCCTCCCGCCTCCCTCTCCACAGACCAGTGGCAGCGGCCCTGAGGCCTGGTCCTGCCCAGGGACCCTTGGCTGTGAATAAGGCCCAGGCAGAGCCCGGCCGGCTCAGGGAAGAGGCACGGCCTGTGGCCCTCTCGTCACCGAGGTGCCTGAAGACGGAACTTGGGAAGGTCCGGGCCTGGTCCTGCAGCATTGTGAGAACAGATGGCTCCTGGGCCAGCGGCCTCGGAGAGGGCAGGAGCTGCAAGAGCCCCATCCAGACGCCCCAGACGCGGCCCTGGGACGCCCCCTCCTGCCACTTCCTCTTTCTGCTGACGAGGCGCTCTGTCCACACCTGGGCCAGCACTGGGGCTGAGGAAGAGGAAGGCCGAGCCTGTCCCTGGGTGAGCTTGGGGACAAGGAGGGAGAAGACAGAAACATCTGGTGAGGGGCTGTGGGTGACCTCCCAGCAGAGGAGTCAGAGCTGTGACCACTGGCCACGGTCAATCGCACCCAAGGCCGGTGGCCGCTACTGAGGGCATCGTGACTAGGATGGGTGCCCTCGTCTCCCTGAGCCAGCTTCCCTCTGTAACTGGAGGGGAGGACGACGGGGGCTGTGCTGGGGACTCCCAAGGAGGATGCTCTCAGACCTTGGTCCAGGGCCTGGTGGATGGTCACAGGGCAGCTGCTGGTGGCCACTATGACGGTTTCATTCCAGGAGAGCCTGGAGGCGAGGGAGGGTGAGGGCCAGAGGCAGAGGGCTGTGTCCACAAGGTGCCCCTCGAGCTCACTAGTGTGCACCTCACAGAGCGCTAACAGCCTGGGCTTGAGGCAGAACGCGGGCCTCGCTGATTCCTGCCGTCAGTTCAAGGACAAAGAGCCCTTGGAAATGCTGTCAAAACAGTTATTCCCCAGTCCAACAGGAGGCTGCACGCCTGTCACTCCAGGAGAGGTCCCCAGCCCGCGCCCAGCGCCTGGCGTGATTGGCACTCACCCTGAGCCACCTGAGAAACTTGGGGGAAGGACACTTTGATTTGCCGGAGATCAGAGCCTGTTTGAACTGTCACCGATTTCCCTTCCAGCGTCTGAGGGCCACTTCCTCTCTCTGGCCAGAAGTCTCTGTGAGCCAGGCCAGGGCTGGGGTGCCCCAGGGCCTGGCCCCTGCCCCAGGCTGGTCCCAGAGCTGCAGAGCCCTGCCTGCTCCCCAGGCGGGCGTGGCTCAGAATCCTACTTCCTGACCCTGGTCCCCCGTCCTGGGCACCCTCAGGGTCCATAGGTCCCCTCCTACAGCTGCTCTGGCTCCTAAGAGTTGCCCTCAGTGACAAGGCCAGTGACTGAAGGCCCAGCCCTGGTTTCTGAGGTGGAACCAGGCCCTCCCCTGGGCAGCATGAAGAGGCAGCGTCACCTCCCCAGAGAGCAAAGGGCACCAACGCAGGAGCCCCACTCGTTCAGTCCTCGGCAGGCCAGGAAGCGAGTCTCCACTGCTGCCATCAGCATGAAGCCACCAACGGGGCAGGAGGGAAGGGGACGCTCCATGCGGCTGTGTGCTGGGGACAGGGCAGGCCTGGCTGGGAGGCCAGGGCACGTATGAGAGCACACGCACACACACACACAGATACATACACAGGTGCACACACATGCACATGTGCATACACCCCACACAGGCACACATGCACGAATAGATATGCACAGACACGCACACAGATGTACACACATTTGCACACACACCACACACATGTACACGCAGATGCACATACCTGCACATATACACATATGCACACACACCACACACAGACACACATGTATGCACATACATGCACAGAGATGTACACACACACACACACAGCAGAGCCACACGTGGGACTACGTGAGGTGACTGTGCATCTCAACAGGCGTCGGATCAGAAGAGCACGTGGGCCTGTGGCCATGGCTGGAGGAGGGCGCGGGCTCCCGTCAGCTGCCCGAAACTGGGTAAGTGCTGGTTCTGCCCACGCCTGGCTCTGCCTCCAGCAGACCCTCCCAGAGCGTCAGGGCAGCCTCGCTGGGGTGAAGAACCCGGGCTGAGCCCGGGAGGCCCTGAGCAGCTCCAGGAGCTAATGCCTTCGCGAGCTGGCGCCCTGAATGCAGGTCCCCTGTCCCCTTCCCCTACGTGGCTCTTCAGCAGGCCAGGGTGGGCACGCCTCTGGGTCAGGTCTGCACGCTGACCTGGCTCCTAGGCACCCCACAGAGGCCGAGCAGGGCCACTAGCTGGGCTGTGGGAGCCCAGGCACCTGGCGGGCAGGAGATTGAGGCCCAGATGCAGGCCCCAGCAGCCCGCAAGCCCCGGAGGCTGCGCGGCAGCTCCCAAGCAGGGCTGAGTTAGGATGGTCAGGAGGAGGAGCCAGGCGGTGCCCACGGGTGTAGGCACTGGGCCAGGGCCCGGCACATCATAACCCTCTCCACTGGGGACAACCAGGGCCCGGGAGACACCCAGGCACACAGAGCTGGGCAGCTGGTTCACAGGTGCAAATAGGACTCGAGGGACGCCAGACCCTGGGCCTGTAGCGGGGCCACACTGCCCTCAGGAGCAGAGGCCAGGAGGCCCCCCAGGTTAGGAGGTGCAGTGGGGGCAGGGCAGGGGCCCCAGGGGACAGGGCTCTCACCAGAACACATGGTCTTTGGTCACGCGCTCTTGCAGAAGCGTCCACTTCTTCCCCAGGTCAGATGACACGTAGAGCTTCAAGCAGAAACAGAGAAACCACAGTTTGGTCGTGACGTCAGAAATGAGCCGGGGAAGGGTGGGGAGAGCCGGCCTGAGAGTGGCCGCAGAATGCCCCTGTGCTGTCGGCTCTCTCCTGCAGACACAGGAAGTGTGCACGGGGGTGGGGACAGCCCCCACACAGAGCAGCTCCTGCCCAGGCCACCTGCAGGAGCCAGGGGTGAGGACCCCAGGTGGAAACCCAGGAGCCCTCCCAGAGGAGGTGTGCTGACCGCTGACCCAGGAGAGCGTTGACAGAACCCTAAGAGGGACGGGGGCTGGGGGAGAGGGGGGGGGGGGGGGGGGGGGGGGGGGGTCGGGAGGGAGGGGAAGGCACGTGGAGGGGGGCGCTGCCAGCACCCAGGGCTGCAGGAGTGGGCGGAGGTCAGGGCGTGGAGGGGACCCAGGGCTGGGGCTCTGTGCAGGCTGCTGGCCTGGTCCAGGCGTCTCCACCCTGCAGGGTGGATGGCACCACGTTCTCCTGCTGTGGACTTGATCTTCACCTTGTGTTTGAGCTTGAGAGGTCAGGCTGATGGATGGCAGGGCACGTGCTAGGCCCCCAGTCAAGGCCCTGCTCCTACAGGGGACAGATTCTCAGCTCCTGTCTCCTCCTAGTGACCACCGCTGGCCTCTACCCCAGGAAGGTCATGGCTGAGTGCCCTGGGCACCCAGCCATGGGGCAGCCCCCCGGTGGGCCTTGCTCTGCAAGTGTCCGGCCTGCGAGGGAGCCCGAGGTTCAACGCTCATGGAGAGCACCAGGCCAGGAGAGGCCTGCGGGGGGACGGCACGTCCTGCACGCCCAGGCCTCCCCACGTCCCACTGGACCCTGCAGATTTTGCAGCCCCTGCCGGACACCCCCAGCTGAGGCGGGTAAGCCAGGGTGGGAGGGCGCGGCCGGGAGGCATGGCCGGGCTGAAGGCAGGGAGTCCTCTGTCCTGGCCTGGTGGACGGGAGGCGAAGGGCAGAGAGGCCTGTTTAGGGATGGGGCAGGCCCTGGGAGGAGTGGAAGGGGCAAGGAAGTGACACGGTCCTTGGTTCCGTGCCCTGGAGGCAGGGATGGGGACGGCTGGTCCTTGGGACCCTGGTGGAGACGGTACCAGTGTGAGCTTTAGAGAGCAAGTGTGAGAGGCAGGGCCACAGGACGAGACCCAGAGCTGCTGCCCCGAGGGCCGCCGTGGGAAGGTCCTTCCCTCCTCAGGGTGACGGTCCTGAGAGGAACCTGAGACCCTCCTGGAGGAGGAAGCCAGGTCTCAGGGTGGCCTGGTGGGGAGTGCCACCCCACAGAGGGGACACAGGTGCTCCATGTTCCAAGTGGAAAACTGGAGTGGGGTCCAGTAAGGGCTACCCCCAAACCCAGCCGCTCTGGGAAACTGAGGGACAGCAGAAGCAGGCAGGCCCTCTCCCCCTGCCCCCCGACCTGCCGAGGCAGGTTGTGAAGCCAAGGTGGGCCCTCCCCACTTCTCCTGCCCTTCTTCCCTGAAGACCCTCAGTGACAGGTGTCCTGCCCATCCCTGGGGGACGGAGGTCACACAAGGATGCCAAGAGGACCCTGAGCCAGTCAGCCTTCGAGGCTTGGCCTAAAGCCCTTCTCTGGCCACTAGCTCAGAGGCCGTGGCCTGGTCCTGCAAGGCCTGGACCTGCCCCCAGCGCCTTCTCCTGCTGGGCCCTCGTCCTGAGTCCTGGGAGGCCCTGGAGTGTGTCCCTGTGCTGATGCTGACACCGTGTCTCTGGGCCTCAGCTTCTGGTCTGCAGGTGTCCTGTGTCCCTCCGCCCCACTCAGGGCCCCTGGTCCCTCTCAGCCTGGTTTCTGGTGACTCTGCCTGTGACACGTCGGTTCCAGCCCATTCGGGATTCTTCCCCCACCCAGAGGCAGGAGCCCGGGGCTGACCCCAGCTCTCCTCTCCAGGGACAGGCTGAGTGGCCACAGGGTTGGCCTCCCTGAGCCGGTGTTTCCGCCCCCATCCAGAAAGCCCCCCGGGGCAGGGTGTGTCTGTGGGTCCACAGCTGACCCAGCAGCTGCAAAAGCAAGGCCCTGCAGACTGACCGCAGCCCCGCAGACTGACCGTGGCCCCGCAGACTGACCGTGGCCCCGCAGACTGACCGCGGCCCTGCTGCCAACGCTCCCGGAGCCAGTGGAGGGACCTCCCACCCGAGGCTGCGGTGCCAGGGCCAGGCCCACCTGTGCTCCGCCCGTCCACCCTCCTTCCGCGACTCTCAACCCCCTCGGCCCGGTAGGCCCCGTGCTCTCCCTGCCCTCCGGGCCTGCAGGGCTCTTGTCCCAGGGAGGCTGCCTTCCCCGCCCCCCTGCTGTCCCCACTCTGTTCTCAATGGCCTCCCCACCCACCTCTGATTCACCAAATCTCAGAGGTGTCCCGGCCCCGGCCCCCTTCCCTGGAGCAGAACCAGGTGGACAGCGCCCCTGTCCCAGTGCCTCACTGCTGTCCAGCTGGGTCCACTTAGGAATTCAGAGAACTGACCAGACCCTGCCCTGCTCTGCGCTCCCTGCTGGACGGAGGCTGAGTGGGCCGTTGGCCCGGGAGCTGGGAAAGCCCACACCTGGAGGGGAGCCAGAAGAGCCAAGCCCAGCAGAGGGTCCTGGAGCCCCCGCAGCAGGACACGGGCAGGACCACCCGTGGGAAGGAAGTGGGTGCTGATGCAGGACATGTGCACCAGCCTCTTCCCTGCACACTGTGGCTCTGGGGTCCCTGCCTCCGTGGCCCCCTTGCGAGGAGGGAGCAGAGCCCCAGTGCAGGCCTCAAGAGGCACAGACTCCAGTGCCTTCCAACAACCAGGATGTATCCTCCAGGACGGAGGCAGGGGAGAGGCCCCACTTCAGGGAGGTTGCTCCCCCCAGGACCTCACCATAAACCCCTGGGGAGGCAGCCCCTCCAGCCTGTCCTAACTGAATGCTTTTGCCCTGGTAATGACACTGGAATCAAAGCCCTGCTTCTTTAACTCTGGAGCCACATGCAGAAAATAGCCATGGCCGTAAGACTTTCCTCTCGAGTGGCTAAGTCATTGCCCAGCTAACCCTCTGTGGCCCCCAGATGCCCTATGGAGGCTGGCGACCCCCCTGGGCTTTCTCACACGCTCACCCTGCCTGCACCCAGCCGTCCCTGCTAACCAGTTGCTGCCCCACGTGGTGGCCTCTGGGCCTTTGCACGTGTGATCCCTCTGCCTGGGACAGCATCCTTCCTCTCTCTGCCACCCAGGTAACCCCAGCCCTTCAGAGGAGCCTCCTCCCCACCTGACGCTCTGCAGACAACAGCCCACATTTCCTGGTCTGTCGTCCAGGTGCTGAGTGGCTGCCGGGGCCCCTTTCCACGGAACCTCCCTCTGATGGAGGGAGAGACCACAAGGAAGCAGCCAGGTCCCCGAGCATGCAGGTGCCTCCCCACGGCCAGGGTTCCGTCTGGCTGCTCTCTACACTGCCTGCTCTGCCAGTCTGAGGGGACGGCCATAGCACCGTGCCACAGAGCCGCAGAGCTGGGCTCAAACAATGCAGTCGCTCCCAGTCCTAGAGGCCAAAAGTCCAAGGTCAAGAAGTGGGCAGGGCAGGCTCCTCCCTCCTGGGTGTGTGGATGCAGTCTCCCCGTGTTTTCACGTGGTGGTCCCTCTGTGTGTCTGTCCTGGTCTCCCCTTCTCATGAGGATGCCAACCAGACAGGATGAAGCTCCCCACTAGTGACCTTGCTTGACCTTACCAACCTCTGTGAAGAGGCCCACGCACAGTCACATACCAAGGTCCTGGGGTCAGGGCTCAGCACACGGACCTTGGAGGACATAGTCCTGGCATGAGCGCCACCAGCACCAGGTCCTCTGCAGTCCTGGCCCCTCCCAGCAGCCTGGGTCTGTCAGAGCACACCCCTGTTCCAGGAGGGGCATTGCATTTCCCACTTCTCTGCACACGGCACGTTGCCCATGCTCTGCTCACCCTGGGCACAGAGTTGAGCCCGGGCCTTCGTGGCCAGGTGCACTGGTGTTTTCTGGGTGAGTGGACCCGTTTGGCTCCAGGGCAGGAGCTCATAGGCCTGCTCTGTGAAGGGCCAGCCTTGCCGGCCGAGCTGTCTCTAGACCAGTCACCCATCTCACTCTGGGAAGAGCGCGGTGGCCAGAGGCGGCACACAGGCCAGTGGGTGGCTACTGGCTATCACGAGGACAGGCGGCAGGCCTCTGTGCGCTGACCCCTGCTCGGGGCCCGTGATGAGAAACCACCACCTTTGGCACTTAGAGGGCGTAAGTCTCACGAGGACAAGCAGCCCCTGTGTCCCTTCAAACGGGCCCGTCCCGAGGCAGAGCTCAGCCAATATCCACAGCAGGCAGGGGACGTCCTCGTCTGTCTGGGCCCGTGAGCACCTGGCAGCAGCCGTGGTCAAGGGGCCAGGAGCCGAGGCACATGTGTCACTTGCTCCTCATTTAACACACTCACCCACACACGCACATGGACACGCACACACATGTGCGCACTCACACACACACCCACGCACACAACCACACACCCACGCACGCGCACACACACACCCACGCACACAACCACACACCCACGCACGCGCACACACACACCCATGCACGCGCACACACACACCCACGCACATGCACGGTGAGCACGGCTCCCTCTCTGCGGATGCAAAACCCAAGGCTCAGGGAAACAGGCCGCTGCCCAAGGTCGCGTAGTGGCCTCCGCCCGGCAGACCTGTTCGCAGAGCGATCAGTGGCTGAGCAGCCCAGGAAGGTGACCGGTCACCCGAGTCCGCCTTCTGGTCGGCTGCATGACTCAGGCCCTTTGTGCCTCAGTTTACCCATCTATAAACCAGGAGAGCCCTGCTCACAGCCGCAGTCGGTGGACCAAGTACCAGTCCACAGTATCGTCCCTGGGAGCCCGTGACAGAGCCTCCATGTCAACGAAGCCATCGTCACTGTCGTCACCGCCTTTGCTCCTGTATCTGATGCCCCCCAGGGACTTCGTGGAGCATTTCCGATTCAGTCTCACGGGAGATGATTTTACAATCCACCATCCCCGGCTTCAGAAATAGGACTTTCTGCTTAATAAACGGCAAACACCAGCAATGAACAGGGACAAGCCCCGGGGACATCGCAGTCCCCACAGCCCAACTGCACAGCTCCGTCCACGGGCGCAGGAAGCAGGACGTGCTGTGTGGCGGCACCTGCCACGTGGAGGCCAGAAGGCGGCAGGGCAGAGAGGACAGGGTCCGCAGGCGGTGCACACAGAGGCCCGGGCGCTCCCGGCAGCTGGACACGACTGGCGGCACTCAGACCCCGTCACCCTGCACAGCGGGAAGCCGCCAGCCCCACAGCGCCTGGACTCCCTTGTTGTTGGAGACCAGGTTGGGGACGCCCCCACAATGCCACAGTGGGATGAGGCCTTTCCTGCCCTTGGCTTCTCTGGGGGCAGCAGGGGAGGGGAGAGGCCGTGGGGTGAGTGGGGCTGGCTCTGGGCCCGAGTCTGGCTGGCTGCAGGGGCAGGGGCAGTGGCCACTTGGGCTGCCTGGATCTCAGCCCCAGTCCTGCATTCGTGACATTGGCAAGTCCAGGGGCTCCTGCTGCCCACCTTCCTGACAGGCAGAGGCTGAAGGTCCCGGGGTGTCCAGGCTGCAGGCTCCTGGGAGCATCCTTGAGGGCCCAGACTGAAGCCCCACCCGCTCCTCCAACCTTTAGAGAGCACCCGACGCTGCCCACTGGAGCCCCTTTGTGCTCAAACACCCAGGGTGACACCTGTCCCTGCGGAGCCCCAGCAGAGACCAGTGGTCAGAGCAAAATGAACAAAATTGTTCTATCACCAGGGAGAAGTCACGTTGCTTCTGGGTCCTGAAGGCTGGGGTCAGAGAGAGCTGCAGACTGCTGCTGACCCTGAGTCCCTGCCAGCAACCTGGTGCCCACCGGTCAGTGCCCAGCAAGACGTCTGGCCTCTCACCCCACATTACAAGGGCTGCCCCTTTGCACCGGCCTTCGCTTGACAGGATGCCCGCGGACACTGCCAGGGCTGGAGCACAACAGTGTCCTCTCGTCCCCCCTTTCCCCCATGGTCACCTTCATGCTCTGAAGCTGCCCTAGAAGTGATGCACCTGAGCCCCGGGCAGTGTCCCCCAGTGAGTCCTCCCTGACCGCCCACCCCTAGCCCTGCTGGCTCCTCTGAGTTTCTGGAAGGAAACCAACATCTCGATGCTGAGAAGGGAAGGAAAACCAGCCAAGGTGTAAAGTCCAGCTTAAGTGTGTCCAGCTTCGGTGCCCACGGCTCTGCCCACAAGCAGCCACTGGGCTGGGCGGGTGTGTTGTTCAGCATGTGGCAGCAGGCACCTGCCTGTGCACCAGATTGTTGGTATCCAGGCCTGGCGTTGTCCCCGGCACTGCCCGGCTTCTTGGGAATTAGAGATCTTTAAAACCCTATAAACTCCCCAAACCTAAAGCCCTGCTGTCATTGTTATTAATTCCCACCGATTTCTCGTTCCTTTACAACCTTAAATAAACCTCTTTACTCCCTTTTTCTTTCCTTACTCACAGAAAAGAGCCAAGGAAAAGAACCAAGATTTCAGCTCCATTAATTTTTCAGGGCACCGTAAATTAAAGAGCCATCGCGACGCTCGAAAATGAGTCTCCGTGGTTGTGCTCGGCTCAGATTACAGGGGAGGCCAAGTCGCACTGTTAACACCCACAAGCACACGCCGGCCGAGCAAGGTGCTGGGAGCAGAGGCGGCCCCAAGGCCAGGGGATGTGGGACTCCAGATCTTGGCAAGGAGACCAGGCCCTGCGGACGGCTGGGCTCAGTCCAGCCAGGAGCCCCTCTAAGCAGGTCTCTGCCCTGGCTGATCCCTCCTGGCAGCCATCTGTCATTTATCTAACCGACCTCCACCAGTTCATTCATTCATTCATCTCCCTCCCGCTCATACACCACCCACCCATCCACCCTGATCCACTCATCCACCCACATATTCACCACCTCATCCAGGTGTACTCTAGCTGTCTACCACCTTCCCATCCACAACCCACTCATGAATCTACATCCATCCACCCACCCATCCACTCACCCTTCCATCCATCCACCCATCTATCCATCTATCCATCCACCCACCCACCCACCCATCCATTTATTCACTCATTCATCCATCTACCCATCCACCCACCTATCCACCCATCCTTCCATCCACCTATCCACCCATCCACTCACCCACCCACCCACCCATCCATTTATTCACTTATTCATCCATCCACCCATCTTTCCATCCACCCATCCAACTGTCCATCCACCCATCCACCCACCCATCCATCCATCCACACATGCAACTGTCCATCCACCCATCTACTCATCCTTCCATCCATCCACCCATCCATCCATCCATCCATCCACCCACCCATTCAACCCTCCCTTTCTCCCTTCCTCCATCCACAGGACCCCAGAGGGCAGGCAGTGGGGACACAGGTTGCAAAGGGAGGCTGCTGCCCTGAGTGGCCTCCACCTGCCCCCCAGACCCCTGCTGCCCTTTCCTCCTTTTGCTGGTGGGGGCCTAGCCTGTTCAGGGGACAGCACTTCCTCCCTCTGATACCTGGTTGAGTCACCCACAAGTGGCCCCAGCAGAAGACTGGTGGGAAGGAAGAGAGGGGCTGGGACAACGTTCCTCCTGTCCTGACCGTCCAGCCACAGCTGGCAGGGGCTGTGTTACTGTAACCAGGACAAGGCCCCTCCTGCCACCTTCCCCGTGACTGCACTCGGGCGTGACGAGAAGCCAAAAATGGCTTCACCAAAGCCAAGTCCTGACCCCTAGAACCTGGACTGTACCTTACGGGGCAAACGGGACTTTGCAGATGTGATTGTTAAGATGCAGAGATGACCTGAGGCTGCTGGGGGCGGGGCTCCATGTGAACGAGGGATGGCAGGAGAGATCTCCCACACACGCGCGAGCGCACACACGTGCACACGCACTTGCACACGCGCACACGCAGTGGGTGTTGTGCAGACGGAGCAGGGAGGTGTGAAGATGCTGTCCCTGAGAGTGGCATCTGCAGCTAGAAGGGGGAGCTTGGCAGCCTCGGGAACCAGCAAAGGCCAGGTCAGGTTCTCCCTGGAGTCCAGAGGAGCGCGGCCCTGTGGCACCTGGATCTCAGTGCAGTGAGCCTGACTTCATACTGTGAGAGGCCAGTTTTGTCACAGTTACGCTGAGCCAGACAGCCTCTGGTCACTGGTCACAGTGGCTGCAGGAAGCTGACCCAGGCCTCTTCGCCAGCCCTGGCTCCTCTCTGGGGCCTTTCCCGCCCAGTGACCTCTCCCCACACGGCCTCCAGGAGCTGGTGGGCCGGCTCTGCCCACACCAGCAGGGGCTCTCCCACCCCCGGGCCAGCTTCCAGGTCCTGTGAAGGGCTGGGCACCTGCCACGCTCCCTGCCGTGCGGAGGACCCCCTGTTCCCGGCAGGGCCTGGAGGACATGGCTCCCAAGGAGCGGATGCTGCCCTGAAATGCGGGTCACCTGGCTCCCGTTGGTGAAGGTGGATGCGCATCCCAGGCAGAGGGAAAGGGCCTGCAAGACCTGGCCCAGGAGGTGTGCGGAGCATTCTGGAAGTAGGGGAAGGCCCTAATGGCTAGTGTGCGGGGAGAGACAGAGTGCAACAGTGCGGTGGCCAGCTGTGACCGACTGACCCTCCCCAGGCCTCTGTGCCCAGTGCCTGCTCACCTGCACCTTCCTTAGTCCCCACAACAGTCAGGCAGCTGTCACTCCCCACACGGACACTCCCCACGCTGACACGGGCCACACACCTGTGACTAGAGTCTGGGCCTCGCAACCCCGGGGAGGCTTCTCCTGCACCAGCCTAGGTGTCTGAGTCCCACTGAGGGAGAAGGCTGCTTCTGAGCTGACGTTTGTCCAATAGGGTGCCCCACCCACGGGTCTGCGGCAGGTGTCCCTGCCCTGTCGACTGCGCGCGCCCCTGTGCCCCCTTACCTTGTTCTCCTTGGTGTAGGCGAGGACCTTGTCCTCCTCCTTGGGGTGGAAGATGAGGGTCTCCACCAGGAAGGCGATCGGCTGCTTCTGGAAGGTGGCGCCCTCGTCGGTGCTCAGGAAGAGGCTCTGCTCGCGGTCGCTGAGCGAGGAGCTCACCAGGATGATCTGCAACACAGGGCAGCGTGAGCCTCCAGCCAGCGTGGCCTCCCCACGGCAGGACACTAGTGCCCACCCTGTGCCCAGTGCTGGCCCCTGGTGCGCTGATGCCCGCCCTGTCACGACACTGAGGCTGGACCGTGGACCTCTGCCACGAATGAGACTCCAGCTCAGGGGCAGCCCAGCAGGTGGGCGCATCACCGGGTACGGCTGACCTGGGGCCTAGAGGGAGCGGAGCAGCGGGGGTGGACGGGAGGGCGTGATGGACACAGGGGCTGTCTGCACAAGGGGACACTGACGGGGGCGAGGACCGGGCTCTGACAGGCTGAGGTGCTGAGGGGGGCCTGTGGGGAGGGGGCAGCAGGGTCCGGGTTCTGTTGGCAAGAGGGCCACGATGGGTCCCGCGTGTCCCCTAGAAGGACGCCCCTGCCCGGACCCCACACCTGGGAATGTGACCCTATTGGCCATGTGATTATGAGCTCAGTCAAGATCCTTCTGAGTCAGGGTGGCCAGGCCAATGACTGGTGTCCTCCTAAGATGACCAGATGGACACAGATATGAGAGGGCTGCACCTCTGAGTCCCGGATGTCCAGGGACTGCCCAGGACACCAGGAAAAGGCAGAGAGTGGACAGTCCTGTGAGCCTCCAGAGGAGCTGGCTTGCTCACACCATGCCCTGGACGTCAGCCTCCAAGCCAGGGGACAGGAGTTCCCAGCTGTGGGGCTCTGGAGAGGTGGCCACAGGACAGTTCTACAGCACATGGGAGCCTGGGAACATGGAGGTTTTCACCTGCTCTACATTCCCTCATGTCCACGTGGCTTAGTAGACATGGGCCCCCAAGGTGGCCTGGGCCCCGGCTGGGGCTTTGGTGGCTTAGACTGGGGATGTCCGTGTCCTTCCACCTGCCATTTCCACTCCGTGCGTCACTGCAGTGGCTGGAGTGACAGGTGTGACACCCTTAGGAGGGGCCCAGGCACCAGGAGCACCCTGCTCTCCAAGGCCTCCTACAGGGACGCTGCAGCAGGCCTGCTCTGTGGTGCCAGGACATGCCCTGTGAGTGGCCAGCACCTGGGTGGGCAGCCGGGCAGCTCCACCCCTGGCCTCCATTCACTGAGTCCTGGGGCACTGGCGTCCCTGGGCTGCATGGGACTCCCTTTGGTCTCACAGAGGGGCAGGACGGGACAGCCAGCCTACTGCTCACACCCTGGTGACGGGCAGGCCCAGAGGTGGAAGAAGGACATGGACATCCCGTCCAAAGTGACGCTGCCAGGGTCCCCAGGCGTGGCGGGTCCCAGAGCCTTGGGGTCCAACACCCGGCCGCACGGGGGGCCGACAGGGCGAGGCTGGCCCCTGCTGGCTGGACTCAGTGTCCACCCTGCAACTTCACCCCACTGCCCACTCCACCCGCCAGCCGCTGCAGCCCGCTCCCTCAACCCCGCGGCTCACTTTATCTCCCTCCCGGCTGCTCACAGCGCACAGATGTCCACCCCCGGACAGCACCGTAGGCATTCTGGGAGCCTCCTGCCTCCCCTGTGCGCAGGGCCTGGCACTAGGTGGGTGCTACGACCCCGTAAATGGGTCTGGGAACCTCAGTACACACCAGGGCTGCGGTGCAGGGTGGCCTCTGCCCCACAGCCTGTGTCTGCCCTGCCCATCCCCTCCTGCAGGCCCAGGGCTCTGCCAGGGGCACCCCAGGTAAGAGGAAGGAAAGAACGGCTGGCCAGGCGCTATTTTGGGCCTCACGTTGGAAGAGCAAGCAGGAGCGCGGGGGGGCGGGGGGCAGGGCTGTGGAGCCCAGGAAGTCACCAACCAGCCGCCAGGCAGAGGCTGGCAGATTGTTCCTCCAAGTTGGGAAGCAGTTTCTATTTTAAAGGGGGTATTTTTACTGCTTACTATTCTGGGGAGACATATGGTACCTGCACCAGGTTCCGGGGCCCACGCGGCTGGGCGTTTGAAATCCGAGGGACCAAGCCAAACACTCCAGAGAAACATTCCACGGGCTCATTTGACGACGGCCAGTCCACTTGTAGTGTGGGCCCCAGAAAGGGCTAGACAATGTGGGGCCCAACCGCCATCGGAGGAGGGGAGGCAGCGCGTCCTCTGTGTTGCTGCGTACTCAGGTGCGCCTGCTGGGGAGGCTCGGCCGTCCCCACTGCTCAGACGGGGAAGCTGAGGCCAGAGTGGCTGAGCGCCTTGTGGGCGTCACACCGCCTGCCCAGCTGTAGCCAAGTCCCCCCACGGCTCACCTGTGGGACTGCGCTGGGCTCCCTCCCGCTGCGTCTGACCCGGAGCCCCCACGCCCTGTTCTGCTCTTGGATTGGCCTGTGTCAGCCTGTTCCCACCTGGACCCTTGCTATCAGAGCCACTGTGTCCTGAGGAGCTGACGAGTCACCACCCTGGTCCACAAGGCTTCCCACCACCTCCTCCAAAGGCGGGGCCGAGGTCCCATTCTGCCTGCGGTGCCGCTCGTCACACAGTAACTCTCCACACTAAAAAAAATCAAAACACCAAGACACCCCACAAATGGCAGAAACCGCCCTGGCTCTGCCAGACTCTGCTGCGGGCTTCTCAGAGTGTCCACTCCCTCCAGAATCTCACCCCGGGACTCAGTTCCTTCGCCCTTCACCAAGCTTAGGCCCAAAGGGTCCCTGGTCCCAGGATGGGGTGCCCTGAGTCACCTGTCTGTTGAAAACCCAATTCCTGTGGGGTCCAGAGAACTTGGCCTTGATGCCCAGAGGGGAAGACCATGGAAGCAAACCGACACAGGGCCTCCGCCCCCACTTCCCAGGGTCTCGTCCCTGCCAGGTGAGCTGTGGGGACCAAGGACAGCTCCCCCACCCAGTGCTTGCTCCTGGCCCTGGAGAGTCCCGCTGGGACGGTCAGCAAGTTTGGCTGGCCACTCATGTTGCAGGAGGGGGCTGCCCCAGGATGACCATCGGCTCCCCTCACCCTCAGGACACACGGCCTGCGTGCTTGTGCACGGCCTTGGACACACCAGAGGCTGGAGGCAGTTAGGGCCCAGGAGCCAACAGGACCTGGCCTAGGCAGAGGCAGTGGACTGGGCAGCAGTGGGCAGGGCCTGGGCACTTCAGAGCAGTCTGGTGGCTTTGGGTGGGGGAAGAAATGCAACAGCAAGTGCAGGAACGTGCTAAGCTGCTGGCTTGGACAGAGGGTATGTGGCCCTGCTCTCACAGGGAGGGGGACCTGGGCAGAGCCAGTTTGGGGAGACAACCATGAGGTCGAGCTGAGCTGCTGAGGTTCTGAGGCGCACCCAGGGACAGGAGGGATTCAGGGAGGAGGCAGGCTTTGGGGGTGAGGTGCACAGACACAGTCCTGGGAGTGGACCAGCCCACCCAGCGAGGTCATCTAGAATGGGCCTTCTTAGCTGTTTGAAACAGGGGTTGTGAAGTCAGGAGAGAAACAGGCTGGGGGCGGGGGTGACCTCCCAGAGGGGCCTGGCAGGACCACAGGGGGCAGAGGACCCACAGGCTCCCGCCTCCTCCACCGCAGCCCTCGACTGTGCCTGGGCCTCTCCAGCCGGTGTCAACCCCGTCACTCTGTGGGTCTGGCCCCAGAGGCCTCTGCCTGGAGGGGTGCGCCCGGCTCCTCTTCCCTGAGTTGTATTAGCAATGTTATATTTTTATGTTAACTTCTAAATTAATACTGATTTTCACCAACAGATCATACGAGTGCACATTTTTAGGGTACAACAGGACACACACACGCAATGTGGCACGTGTACATGACGGCCCCTGACATGCCCATCACCGTAGCCACTTACCACCTCAAAACAGCTGAGAGAGAGCCGTCCAGTGCGGTCCTTCCCACTCTGCAGCAGCCCAGAGCCCCCAGCCCACCCTGAACCCTGACCCTGCTCTCGTGCTGTGTCAACGCCGACTGTGGACACTCTCTGAAAATGTCCTTTTACATCACAGCATCACCACGTCCACCTCCAGAACCTTCCATCACCCACGGGGACGCTCCAGACCCGTTCTTCCCTGACCTCCCACTTGCTGGACGTCTCCCCACAAGGCCACACCACAGGGGACATGGGCATCTCACTCAGTGCTGAGCCCAGGCCCTGGTGCCTGCAGTAGGCGCTTTAGTGCTGTCCGCTGGACGACTGATGTCTCTGAGCCTCACCCGCGGCCAGCACTTGGGGGCTGTTTGTGCCGAGCTGTGTGGGCCGGTGCTCAGGCTGCCCCAGCCTCCAAGCCCCAGCTGAAACCCAGGGGGACTCACAGACCACACAGCCTCCTTGGATCTGCCGCCCTGGGCAGGAGGGGAGAAACCCTGTCCTCAGCGGCTCTGGGCGGCCCAGATCCCTGCAGGTCTCCAGCATCCGTCCCATGACATTGACCTCCGACCTCACGTCAGTCCTCCCTCCACTGCACAGGGAAGCCTCTGGTCCCTGTGCCCAGCCTTCCTGGCACAGCGGGCTCTGAGAAAGCCCTGGTGGTGGAGGACCAAGGACTCTGACCTACCAGGTCCAGGGAGGTCCACCAGGTCGGCTCCTGCGGCCCCACAGGCACAGGCACCCCCGGAAAAGAGCTTCCCCCGCACACGCACTTGACCAAAGGCGAATATGCATCCGGGCAGGGCTTGCCCACCCCAGCCTGGGTCCTGGAGACACGCTCCAAGACTGCAAAACCCTGGGCACAGGAGGGGCCCTCGCCACGCAGCACGACCGCACGCCCACTTTTAGAACTCCTCCGGATCTGCGCAGACCCATGTCAGGGGCCCGTGGGTGCTGCCCAGGCACCCAGAGCAGGGCCATTCACAGGCGGTTGTGCTCAGCAGGATGGTGCCCCGCTGAGGGGCAGGTGAGCCCCTGTGAAGGAAGGTTGGAGGAAGTGTGCCCACAGGGTAGCTGTCACCCAGGACCAGGTGGAGCTGCACCAAGTCAGAGCACTGGGACTGGACACCCAGGCTGTGAGCTGCGTGGGACCCAGTGAGCACTCCCTCCTGGGGCTAGACCTCGGCACACAGATGCCCGGGGCAATGATTCC